CTCTCTTCCCCAAGCCCCAGCTAAGCCCTGCAAGCTCCTTACTTACTTTGCTATGTGCACAAATGGCTGATCCCAAAAGTTTCCATGTACCGCCCCGCCTGTCCATTCGGAGCATCCGCAGGATCTGAAGGAAGCGAAGGCTTCTGAGAGATGTAGCCAGAACATTGCCCTGGTTCCCAACAGCAACCACTGGCACTGAAGCAATCAGCACAAAGATATCTGCAAGGCGAAAAGAACAAAGCCTGCCAACAAAAGTGGCCCCATCACCTGCTTCTTAATCCCATCTGGTTGTGCTGCAAATTTCCCTAGGCAAACTTTAAAGCTGCCTGAAAATGCCTTCTCTTGCCAATTAAACAGATATCTGCACCTGCCACACAGTTGGCATCACACGCAGAACCCACCAGAAAGCCTCGTAATCTATTTACAGATCAATGCACTGGACTTGAGACACTGACTGAGCTAGCTTAGGGATGCGCAGAAACAGTGTCTGAATGCTGACAGAAAGACAACCTGAAATTCATCTGTCCCACGGGAACACCATAGTGAACTGGTCAGCAGATAAGAAATTCAGTTTTTGATGGTGCATCTAGTGTTTTGTTCTTTTGGCTGAGTTCTCCCAGTAAAATCTCAAAGCCAGTGCTAGTATTTTTTTGTAAGCACTCATAGGGCCAAACTGCTGATCAGCTGAAGAGGTCTGAAATGCAAATCACAGTTCTTCTTCTTGTTTTGTTTCTTTTTCTTTCTTTTTTTTACTTTCTTCCCCCCCCACTTTTTGATCTTATACAAGAAAAACGTGGTACCAAAAGGCTTCAAACATTCTCTGGGCATTCAGTCTTTAAATTGTCTTCATAGTTTATTTCCAGACAAAAAGAGTGATACTGGATGGATTTCAGATTTAGTCACTTTCAATCATTCTCAAAACAAACTTGTGCCAGTGAGAACAAAGAGATTATATTAATAATATGTCCAGTGGGATCTTTTCTGTTCTTTACCCAGATACCAATGAATTTTCATTCTCAGAAGTGAGATGACACTTTTACCAAGAAGGCATGAGCCAGCATCAATCGCACTTGCTCACATTGTGCCCTACTGACTTCACAACACTATTAGAAGTATAAGAAGTATTTATACAACAGTAGCACCCAAAGGAGCACTGCTAGATTGAAGATAGCACAGTTACACAAAGAAAATTTGTTCCAATTTTGTCTCCCATTTAGACCCACAAGATGAACAAAAGGAGAGAGAGGGAAGAGGGTAGCACAGATTCATATAACTACGGGACCACGGCTCTCCAGAGTGCTATGCGCTGTACTAATAAAGAAGAAAAAGCTAGTGGTTGGCTTGAAGAGTATCAAAATAAATGAGGGAGTCCTGGAAACACTGAATGAATGTAGATGTGCATGGCAGGTGCTCAGGGCAGACTGAGCTCCTAAATGTTGGCTAGTTGGTTTGTGGATGTAATGGGGAGTTTTAGGAGGGGATTCATGAATAATGAGCAGTTTTATGAAAGTTGCAGGCAGTGCCTTCCAAGCCTGAAAGATAACATGGGCAAAATCACAAAGATACTTGTTTGCAAATGCAGACCAACATTGCAAAGGTAAAACACAACATTTGAATATGAAAGAGGTCTGGGCACAGTGGTGGGATGTGAAGTGGTTTGAAACTGGAGGCAGACAGAGTATATTTTGGCATGAGCATAAGAAAAAAGCAGTGGGAGTCAGGATGAGAAAAATGTACTTGAAGAGTAGAGGGATCCTTTTTTTTTTTTTTTTTTCCTCACTGACTAGCCACCCAAGAGTCTCTCAAATGAACTGCTATTGCTGGGTACTTCAAACAACTACTCCAAGCAGGACACAGGTCCTAGCACAAAGGGCAGATCTGATTTCAGTGCTCTTTGACTGCCATTCAGTCATCCTCCCAAACCGGCTCCGAAGGAGAAGGACATAATGGGGAAAAGAGTAGCAGAGAGCATGTGCCTACCCAGCATGCACAAAGGCTTCCTGGCAAATTTGAGTCTCCCCCTCCATCCTTTGTAGCGACAGCAACACCCAGCAGCCCAGATTCTTAAGGCAAACTCTGCTCCAAAGATGAAAATGGCAAAAGTTTCCTGTATCAAAGACACAAACTACATTGTTAGTTTAATAACAATTTTAGCAGTAATTCCAGACACAAGGATATAGCTGAAGGAAACAGATGAGGTGTAAGTATAGGGGTATGTGTGTGAGAGAGAGAAAGTAACAAAGTGGAGAGGAGAATACAGGTTGATGGAAGAGGCAAAGCAAAGTGGGACATAGCTTTACATCCTGCTCTGCAGAAAGGTTGTGCCCCTGCTGTGAGGTGAATGTGAAGTGCTCACCCTGCCTCGATGGAAGGGCAATTACTTCACAAAAATAGCTCCTGTTTCACATCAAATGAGAAAACATATGTGAGTGGTGACTGCAAAGTCCCCAGTGCACTGTATCCCCACAGCCAGGGTTACCCACCAGCAGCTTATTTATGCAGGTATCTCTAGAGAGACAGAGGCAGGATACAGTATATTCATATGGTCATATTTAAGGCAACGATAAAGGCATACGTAAGACAAATTTAGGGCATACATTATCCCCTTAATTTTCTGGTGCACAGAAGAATGAGATTTTCCACCATGCTGAAGAGCTCTTTTAAGTATGGGGAGGGAATGGGGAGAAGAGAGATTTTCCAAGGTGCACAGTGGACTTGGGCCAAAGACAGCATGGGGCACACAGTTACTTTTCCTCTCTGTGAAAAGATGACAAGGAGGAAAGGGGAATTCTTCCTGATGGTCATAATAACAGCTGCTAGGCATTTCTGAAAACTGCTGAAAGCCACATAAAAACAAGTACAAGAGAAGGAAAAATAACCTCAGGCTTGTTCAAATGTGAAAAGATGGGTCTAAGCAGGGTAACAGGGACCAAAAGTGAATTTCACATTCCCTAGGGGATGAGGGTGTTTTCATACAGCTGCTTCTTGAGAAGGAACACGTAAGGGGAATTCACCTTTCATTCCTTTTGGCATTTAGCTCTTGCTCAGATCTACATGTCTCTAGAGATACAAGGGGAAATGGGAATTGCAATGCCAGAACTGCTCCTGCTGTGCAGCTTCCCTAGGGATGCTTTTCTACAAGGTGAGGTTAAGTGAGATGTTGCAATCTCTATTTCTTGACAGCTATGGGAGTAGAGGAAGTTCTTTGTTAGGGTCATTTTCATAAAATGATGAATACGTCATGTTTATACTGGGTGAGGGCTTTTTTTTTTTTTTCTTCTGCCAAATGGGAGACCTACAGAAATAGAGTCTTGAGCATGAACTCCAGCATTTATAGAACAAACATGCTCGAAACACAGAGAGAGAAGCATATGTGTTGCAAATACATTTTCTCTCATGGATAGTCATCGGAGGCACTGCTTGCAACAATTTCAGCTGTGCTGCTACTGGGCACAAGCATGAGTCCAATTCTGATTACCTCCATTGAAAGAAATGCTGGGATTGGTAGAATCCCCAAAAAGTGAGTTTTCAAATGCACTCAGTTCTGGCATGATCAATAGGAAATTTTTTGATACTTTGATGGGAGAACTGGCAGGCAAATGCTGAAAAGACACTATTTAAAAGTCTCGGGCTGGTATTTTTCCTCTCCCTCACCTTCCTTTTACTCAGTTGGTGTTTACAATGGACTGGGAACTCTCCAATATGTAAATGTACAGTCACTGCTCCAGGACCAACAGAAGAAATCTTATTGCATGCAGAGCTGGGAGTAAGTTTCCATCACTCCTGATGAGGCTGATTTCAATTCAAGGACATTACCAGGGTGATGCAGCAGCCAGTCTACTTACCAACAAGAGGAGCCAGTCTCCCGAAACAGTTTCATACTCTTTGAAAGTTGTCAGGACAGCTAAGATCAAACACCCCAAGACAATCAGAAATCTGTAATGATATAAAAGGAAAAAAACACAGCAGTGTTACCCCTCTTTGTATTTGCATTGCCTATAAAAACCTGGGTGGAGACCTTCAGGGGATGGCTCCTTCCCATCAATGAGCAGTGAGGTTGGCTCCCATGAAGATCAAGGGTTCTCAACCTGGACAGGGCGGGGCTGGCAGTCAAGAAATCATAGCAAGATCTTAAATCAGAATAGTTCTGGGACAGACATATATTAATTAAGTTGATTGCATTCTTCAGGAAGGAAATGGATGATCCTTTATTTTGGGAAGGCACTGTATGCTATGGAAGAGGAATCTAAAGCTCAGGAGGTCTATTCCAAGCTGATGTGCTCTGGGCTTCACAAAATGGCACTGCAGTTACAGTGGAATAAATCTACTTGGCACATTCTGAGACGTGAGAAACAGTAAACACTTCAATACAATCCAGCACCAGGACAAACCCTCCCTTGAAAATTGCACTGTATTTCTTTTTTTTTCTTCCCCTTTTTGCACTCATTTCTATGCAGATGAAAAGATAAAAAGATTTGAAGGAGAAACAATAGAGAGAGGGTAAAGTTCTGCTTTCCAATAAATGCCGTGTGTGATAAATCACTGCCCCTGTGCTATTGTCTGTCTGTGAGATCCAGAACACAGAGATTTGACAGAAAATTTAACTGCCACTGCTGGGAAATCCAATTCAGTCCAAGCTAAAGTCATGTTGATCTATTTTGTAAAACTATTCCCAGGTTCAAACTATTCAAAATCTTTTGTACATAAAGAGACAAGAAAAATGAAGGGAGTCTCGTAAGCGATTACTGTGAAGCAGAGTGGGGCAAGCTCATATTTTAGTACTTCGTGCACCCAGATCATGGGAGCTTTAATGTGCTCCCAAAACCAGATCCACAGGAACAGAAGGGCTGATGGCCATGGAAATATTTCAGAGCTTAGTGAATAAATTGGGAGGACATTTCCATAAAAGCTCTGGAACCCTTGCTTTCATAGCTAGGGTACATCAAAGAAATGATAGGCATTAGGTACCGAAATCACCCAGGGAAAAAAAGCTTGTTAAGACTCAAATTGTGTTTAGTTGTGTACTACCTGTTTTGAATTTCAATATGATACCTAAAGTGTGATTTTATTTCTTGCTGAATAAAACTCCACTTTGTTTCCCTGGGTGAAATGAGCAGAGTCCCCAGCCCGCAGTGAGGAGGCAGCGAGCAAGGACCACAGGGAAGGGGGCTCAGCTCAGATACCTGTCCTCTAACCTGCCTTGGGGCTTCGTTTCCTTCATGTATGGGGAAACCTAGGGCTAAGGGTGTGTTCTGAGAATTTGCAGCATTTTTGCAGCTGGAGTAAAAGGAGAGAAGTGAGCTTCAGATAGCTGCTGCTGCCTTTGGGAAGGAATTTCCTCCAAAGAGCATCAAGTAGTGCTCTCCATGCAAGGAACAGGCAACAGTGAAACACTTCACAGCAAACCCTGCAGGATAATTTGCTGTGGCTTTCCTAACATTGGCTATTCAGATTGAAGTTTCCTATGTCAGGAAAATTTCAGATCAGCCATTTCGAGCAAGGTTAGAACTGAAATAAATGTGTTTGCTCACACTAAATAATAATTATGGATTTTTTTTCATGAGTTCACCTTCTCCCACTCACCAGCCGTGCTCTAGAGCTAGGGTTATGTGGTTGGTAGGAAACAGCCTTAGACTCCAGAATGTCTTTTACTATCTACCTATAACCACACTCCTGCTTCTCAAGACACCTGTCAATGAAATGAGAAATTCTGCAATGTTCCTGCCATTCCCTCAACCTTGCTTTGTCACACCACACCTTGCTGTCCCCACCTTGCAATTGTGAAGCCTGTGGATCTCTGGTGTCCAAGAGTCACGATCCAGCTGCCCTGCACCTCCATGAGCAAACTGGTGAGAACTCAAGCCAACATGATTCCTTTGATTAGCTATAAACCCCCTATGATCTGCCACATTACAGCGGTACCATCACTAATTCTCCATTGACAATAGCCTTGAGCTACTGCTGCTTGTTGCTTTCTGCTACAGCCATTTCTTTATACCATGTGAAAATTCGGTCACCCATCAGCTCACAAGTGTTATTTAAATGATTTAATGATTTTTTTAGCAGTCCAAGGAAATTACATCACCAGCTATTTAAACTATAAGGCATGAATTTACGATATCATGTAACAGAACAGCACTGTCAATTAAAGATGATGTGCAGACTTCTGCCCAAGAGGAAGCCATAAGACAAGTCACTAGTGAAATCTTCGTATTTTGCCTAAAAATGCTTGCGGTTTTACCACTAGAGGGTATCGGTACTCCACAGAGCAGGGGGATAGGGCTCGTTCCTGTTTTCCTTCTCCATGAAACAAGCTCAGTGCTGGTGGTGTTCAGGTGATCACACCCATGTATTTGATATGGAAGAAAAGGAGTCTCACAGTGGTGAAAAGGATTTTCCTTTGACACTAAAAACCCCAAATGTTGGCATTAACAGACAAGTGGTGCTGCTACCTCAATTATGGACCACATCCCATGCTGCAAGCCTCACTGCTCAAAGTGAGAGCCCACCCATGAAAACAACAGATCACGCACGATGAAAAAAAGCAAAAATTAGGTGAGAGGGTGAGATTGGAGATCACAAAGCATCATGAATAATTTGGAGGGCAAATCCAACCAGGGAATGTGGTCTGAACCACATGAATGCAGCCCAGATGAGCACCTTGGAGGTGCAACTGCTGAGCAGGAACTGCATTCGCCAAAAAAAAACACAGCCCACAGAACCAGACTCCTGCTTCTTCCTGCAGTACTCTGGGGCGTGTAGGCATGAAAAGCCCATGTTGGGACATATAACTGCAATCCATCTTGGAAGGGTCAGCTATCCTCCTACCACACTGTTTCTGAAAGAGAAACACCCACTGCAAGTTAATCAAATCACATCTTAGCAATCCTCCCTTAGCATCTGAAATAATGACTGTGTTCAGTGCACTTCATGAATTTTAATCTCCACTGATGCTATGCAACCCACCAACTTCCCTGCAGCCTCTTCTGTTTCGATTCCTGGTGTTTACAAAGCCTGCAAATCTTCTTGTGTCCTCTTTCTATGGAAGATGCTACACCGGTGTCATGGTTTTTTCATCAATCCCCCTTGCTCAGTAAAGTTGATAATAAAGTAGTATTCTCATCTTGGCGCTTATGCCCATATTGTGGGTATACAGAATCATCGAATCATAGAATGGTTTGGGCTGGAAGGGACCTTAAAGATCATCGAGTTCCAACCCCCCTGCCATGGGCAGGGACACCCTCCACTAGCCCAGGTTGCTCAAAGCCCCATCCAGCCTGGCCTTGAACACCTCCAGGGATGGGGCATCCACAGCTTCTCTGGGCAACCTGTTCCAGTGACTCACCAGCCTCACAGTAAAGAATTTCTTCCTACTATCTAGTCTAAATATACTCTCTTTCAGCTTATATGCCCATATTGTAGCCTTGTGAACATAAAGATTCTAACTTGCCTGACAGTTGCTGAGTCTATATTGTCCTACGGCAACAGGACAATAGCTGAGTTTATGTTGCCTAATCTCATCTTTTACAGGCAGCAGTGTGGGTCCAGTCGTTGAGTCTGACTGTAAAATCACAACAAGCAAATCACAGGGAAAGAAACTGCTGAAATCACAGGGGATGAGCAGAGGAGAGGCTAACACTGACTCCAGGAATGACTCCCTCAAGAGAGGGAGAAAGTCTCAAATTTACTCACAGTTATAATGATACTATCCATAGGACATAGAGTACCAAGGGTTAGAATAAACAAATAGGGTAAAAGTTAACGTTTAGTAATGAAAATTGAGTCCTATTAAGCCGAAGCTTCCTATCGGACAGTGTTTCAGCAGGTGGCAGTCCAGACTTCAAGACTGTAAATCACATATGACAAATGATGATCTTAATTCAGTTCTTCAGTTTTTAGAATAATCCCTGTTATCATTTTACAATATTTTTAACAGCCCATTCCGTTGTATATATTTGCAGTATTATGCCTAAAATACTGATTAGTTTGTTGTATGTATACATTCCAGACAACCAAATGGCAGTGCTCTTTTGTCACTGTCACAACTAATATGCTATTCTAGTAAATACATGTTCTTGTTATTGGAAACCACGTCTAACAGTCATATTTTCTAATCATACTATTTTAGTGTATTAAAGACAGTATTCCAAAAAAAAAAAAAACCCATATTTTTTCCAGGAAAGAAGAAGTAACTTATGACTATGCTAGACCATAAATCTAGTGTTTCTTGGTTGAACATCACGGACTGTTCTGTTTGACAAATTTTTATTTCTTTTAATATTTCACATTCTTTGAGTTTTTCTTCTATATCTGCTTTCATTTGAAGCCAATAGAATGCAGATCTAGCTGAGAACTTTCATATTTTTTCCATATATAGGTGCTCATCATGTATACTGTTCACTATCTCTTTCTTCAAAATTTTAGGAGCAGATCATATAGCAATTTGACTATCATCTGTTCCAAAACCCAGCAGTCCTTTTGAAGCTGTCAGGAGGACTAGACACATTATACACAGGCCGAACAGTATTTGTATCTGGCATAATTTTGGCAAATTTTTGTGCTGTGTGACAAAATGTTAAGTCTTAATTAGGCTTACAGTTTATAGAGAGGAGCATACAACTCATGTTTTTTTAAAGTAGATGGCTCAAGTTGGTCAGAAGCACCTACAGAGACAATTTCTTCTCTGTAACTGCTGTAAGGAAAGACTCCAGTGACTTGCTCCTATCAAGAAGCTGACTCTTTAAATCATCTGAATGCCACCCCTTATGATTAGCTCTGTTCTGGATATAATTACAAACACCACCTTTTAATAATGTTCATGTATTTTTACTAGTGAAAGAATTAGCCTACCAGCCATACAAACCTACTTCTTGCATGACCAGGTTTCTCTGCAATCCCTTGCTGTAAATTTAGGTATCACATCTACATGTGGTCAAGGATCCTGCTT